AGGGCATACATCTTTCGAGCAGAGAACCCACTTGTGGCAGCAGAGTCCAGAGCAGAGAAACATTGTATTACTGTAGTTTTGGCTGTTTCAGGCAAGTAGTTCGGCGACACGTCGCACCTGGTGTCACAATGGGCAGTGGGGCTTCTAAGTCAGCTCAACTGTACTACGCGGATACCTTAACCAGTTCCAATGCCGAGATTACAGCAAAACTCCACTACGCCGATACCTTAGCCAGTTCCAATGCCGAGATTGCAAAGATTGTCCAGGAAAGCGCAAGCCAGACCGATCGAATTCCATTCTATGGAACAGAGCCGGAAGACTTCCGCGAAGGTGAGCAAGTCATTGTGAGTTTCCCGGGAGTACATGGCTATGGGTGGAAAAAACTGACTCAGGTTTCGTCTTCAAAACACACACCTTTCGCCAGCAGTTGCATTTTCCTCCCAGATGAAGAGACGCCGGGCTACGGACACCATGACATCCAACGCGGAAAGCGCTGTAGTTGCCACTTTCTTTAGAACGGGGAGAGGGTGAAGTGGGGCTGCCATTGGTTCAGCCAGTGGAAGGAACAGACTCTCAGAGCACATGGCAGGCGGTGCAAACTCGTGGTTGTCACCAGAAAAGATGGCAGTCTTGGGAGGTCGCAAGCAGGAGAAGTGCAGTTCTTGGAGGCCGAAAAGATTCCTTACGAGTCAATTACCATTGAGCAGTTTGCCCGAAGAATTTTTGACCGAAGAGACATGGGGAGGAGGAGGAGCGGGCTCCTTCGGAGTAACAGACTCCTTCGGAGTGACTGGGGGTACCTCTAGATCATCCATTTCAATAGAATTGTCCATTATACATCATCCAGCTATTGGGGTATCCCCATTTATGGAAACCCGAATTCAGGTGCAGATTATTGCGCAGGAACCGGCAGAAGTGGAGTCATGCATGCAAGGTGTTCCACGTTTTAGTACCGAGTGCTGCATTGCGCAGGAACCGGCAGAAGTGGAGTCGTGCAAGGTGTTCCACGTTTTAGTACGGAGTGCTGCAGTGCTTTGTTTCAGGAGGGTTATGGTTCATCTCCATCATTTTTCCATATTCACCCAATCCTTAGGTTCAAATGGGTTCACCCACGTTCCCATCATTTGTTTTCCATTGTTTTCCAGCAATAGGTTCACCATTGAATCATGATGGCTTCCAGGCAAGAAATCCATATGCTTTTCCATCGTTTTCCACAGGCAGCCCGAACATGTTCGAAGATCACATCCTGGACCAAAGTTACTTGCCACCCACATTTTTTCAAGCATCACAACATGCGCGAGCGCATGCTAGATGCCAATCCTTACAAATGTGAAGATTCGCATACTCCTCCAAAACTATCCGTACCGGTCAAAGCCGTGCGGACTGCACAGACTTTACAATCATGAGAGGTGAAAACAAGCACTTCTGAGTCAGCAGCTTTGTCAGCATTTGTGTCAGCTGTGATTTTGGGACACCCAACAGTCTTTACCCCGACTGCCCTTGACAGCGATGCCAGTTTTGCCATTCCGAGGTTATGAAGACAGCCTGGAAGTTGACATTGTGGAGGTCCCAGCACGTGGTCACCTAAGGTTAATTGCTCTAAAACTATTTGATGAACAGCTCATCAACCAAACTCTTGAGATTTGATTTCATGAAATCATCATTCTTTTTTGTTTTTTGTTTGGTAGGATTTCCAACCCTTGGGACAGATAGAGTCACATAGTGACACACATGGACATATCTTTATTACCCGAACCCCTTTCCACTCATCCTGCTTGGTCCAGAGGTGAGCACTGTTTTTGGCCTACTGCTTGGGATTGTGAGGGTTGAGGTGGAATAGACAAGTTGTTCTGTAACATTTAATTATTGATTTTTAAATGATACATCTTGTTGTTTGTTTCTCTTGGCTCGAGCTAATTCCTGAATAGACCTGGATAAATAAGATGGGCATTTTAATGGATAGGCAGGACAGATGGTTCACGTAAACATAGCACTGGCGAGCGGAAAGCATGTATGCCTTGAAGTTCGGAACTCCTGCAAGATTGGGAAGTTGAAATTCCTCGCTCAAAAAGCCTTGGGCCAAGGATTCTTGAAGTTGGTCAGTGCCCAGGGGGCGGTGTTGTCAGATCCTCTGCAATCTTGCCGAAACCTTGGGCTTGAAGATGGCGACCACCTTACAGCCGTTGTGCAGCAAGCAAAGCTAGCGGCAACAGAAGGAGCTTTTGCTTTGTGGTGCTATGGAGGTGATGCAATTGTGACCTGGGGTGACAAGACATGTGGTGGTGACAGCTCTGGGGTCCAACATCGGCTGAGGAATGTGCAGCACGTTCAAGCCACAGGTACTGCATTTGCTGCTATCCTGGGAGATGGGTCTGTAGTTACGTGGGGAAATCCACATCATGGTGGCGACAGCTCTGCAGTCCAGCATTGGCTCAGGAGTGTGCAGCAGGTTCGTGCCGCAACCTATGCATTTGCAGCAATCCTTTCAGATGGATCAGTCGTTACATGGGGTGATCCGCAGTGGGGGGGTGATAGCTCTGAAGTCCAAGATGAGCTGATTGGCGTGCAGCACCTGCAGGGTACACATCGAGCATTTGCCGCGGTCCTGTCAGATGGGTCTGTTGTTACTTGGGGCGATCGCCAATCTGGTGGTGACAGCTCTCAAGTCAAAGATCAGCTCGCGAGGGTGCAGCAGATTCAGGCCACAAATCATGCTTTCGCTGCAATCCTGCAAGATGGATCAGTAGTGACGTGGGGCTCCGAAGATCATGGTGGTGACTCCTCTGCTGTCCGCGATCAGCTCAGGAACGTGCAGCAGCTTCAGGCCACGCATTGGGCATTTGCTGCGATTCTGGAAGACGGATCAGTGGTTACTTGGGGCACTCCAGATTCTGGTGGGGATAGCTCAGCAGTCCAAGAGCAGCTCAGGGATGTGCGCCGCATCAAGGCCACAAATCATGCATTTGCTGCGATCCTCGAAGATGGAATGGTTGTGACCTGGGGTTTTCCAGGTTATGGTGGTGACATCTCAGGTGTTCGGAAACAGTTGAGCCATGTTCAGCAACTTCAGTCCACAAATCATGCATTTGCTGGTCTCCTGGAAGACGGATCCGTAGTGACATGGGGGGATCCACGATTTGGCGGCGACAGCTGTGAAGTCCAAGATCAGCTCAGGCAGGTGCAACACATTGAGGCCACAGGGCATGCATTCGCTGCAATCCTGTCAGATGGATCGGTTGTTACCTGGGGCTCCCCAGCTTCTGGTGGCAGTAGCTCTGCGGTTCAAGATCTAATTTCATTCCTTTAGCTCACTGGATCCTGCTTTAGTTTCAAGCGAGTTGCAACGATAGATTGAAGAGGATTGAAAGGCCCATCTGATTAAAAAGGCTGTGGGATGGAGCGTGGCGAATTCTGTGAAACCCAGAATTATTATCATGTGATACAATATTAATATCATAAAAAATCTATACCAAATTCACAATGGATACAATATTCACACCAAAAACATATTTATTCACACCAAAAACCACCACTTGATGAAGTGCAACATGGGTCGGTCATGTTCTTTTCAGATCATCCCGCTAGGGTGAACTAAGCGTAAAAAAACACCAAGCAGTGACGAATTGCTGAATTACTATGGTTTTATTTGTATTTACAAATAATACACACATATATATATGTATATTGTTAACCCCAAAAAGATAGAACATACATTTACCATTATTTTAGTAGGAATGTACTTTTCTACATTTTTTTGGGGGTACGATATAATATATGGGTTTAAACCATCAACACCATCTAAAAATGAACCATCAGCAATAATAGGGCTTGCTATAATCATAGACATTATATCCCCATGATATTCCCACGACATATTTACTATTATATCCCCATTATCCACATTGATATACCCCTATTATATCCCATATCAATTCTATTTATATCTCCATTAAATTCCCAAAGTGAGATGAATATAAAGCACCTCTTCTTTTTATTTTTGTTTTTTCGATATTCCCACTTTGGGACATAATAGCAAAGTGCTGGCCACTTGTATCCCCATATTCCTGGCCATTATATTGATATCCGCATTATATTCCCATTGTTTTCTAAATATATTTCCATTATATTCCCAATATATCTGGTTGGTGGTTTTGGAACATTTGGATTATTTTTCCATTCAGTTGGGAATGTCATGATCCCAATTGACGAACTCATATTTTTCAGAAGGGTAGGGCTCAACCACCAACCAGATATTCTTCAAGCACCTCTTCCTTCGGCCAGGGACTGTTTTTCTTGCCGCGTGGGGCCGGAGAGAAAAGACGCGGCGGCTCGCAGTGTGAGAAATCTGGGGTCTAGGAATCTAGGCTTTATCTCATTGGATCTGATTGGGTAACAGGGTTGATAGATCCGATAGGTGTGGATGATTGTTGATGGTAACCCGGTCCACATGTCTTTTTTCTTGTGTGGGGAACATGTGGGAACAAACAAGTTTCAGACATATGCACAGGACCCACAAGGTGCGGATCTTTTTTTTGGTGGAATGGCAAGCCACATTTTGGCTGAACCCAGCATGGGAATGTCACCAACCCCCAAAAATGACGGAGTCAACCAACAGCCAGTGTGACTCCAACCATGTAAGAAAATGTCGGCAGGCAATTTTTGATGGTTTAATCATCACATTTTCAGACACACTGCTGACATATCCACTTCCATGATCTTCCAAGTTGCATAAAATCCCCTGAACAGCGCCAAATCCCAACAATTTCCCATTGAATTCCTATTAAATCCCATGAAACCATTATTGAACCACTAAGAATTCCATGAAACCTCCACCAAACCCCCAAAAAATCCATGAAAAAACATGACACCAGCCATGAAACCACCATCAAAACTTCAAAAAAAACCATGAAAACCTGACCGTGCAGGTTGGTATCCTGATCCTTGGTGGTTGCTTCATCGATGGCGGCGAGGGTGGTGGCTTTGGGGGCTACGAACGCTTGATGCACGACTGCTGGGAAGGCGGCACGGGCATGGTGGTGGGGGAGGCGTGAAATGGCTCATGGTGGGGAAAAATCGACCAAAACAAAGGGGTTTGCCTACTGGAGATGGGGTTTTACCTACTAAAGATGGGGTTTTACCGCCTAAAGATGGAGTTTACCTACTAAAAATGGGTTGTACCTAAACAAGGATGGGGATTGACTCAAGGTTTAAAAAAATGTGGGAATTTGCCCAGCCAAAGTGGGATTTACCCAACAAAGTTTTACCCCCCCAAAAAAGGGGTGAATCATTGGCTATAGGTAACTAATCATCCAGGCAGCACATTTTCTGCAAATCACGAAAGGTAGCTCCAGAGGGGCTACCTTGAGTTTTACTTTACGAAGTAAAGGGGAGGGCGGCCAGCCCCGTTACCTGATTCTTCAGGAGATTGCTAGTCATTTTAGTACCCCCCCCCCCC